AATAGGCATAATTGGTCGACCATACAAATTATCTTTGTACGTTGTGTCGAACGCAATTACATCACCGAAGCATGTGTAATCCGATCTCGATGTAGAATCCGACCAAATAAGATTATACAATGCCCCCGATTCGTCTACCGAGTATGTCATAAAAAACCCGGGATCATCATGTTTCTTATAATCAAAGTAAGCAATAAGCGCATTCACATCCCCATCGACGATTTCCTTTGCTTTACCTCTTTGAAGTGCATTGTAGAGGTCTTTATGTGTAAATCCAACATTATGATAGCCCCATGTCTGCTGCGTTAAATAGTTCATTACTTGTGACGTGCCAACACCGACCTCTTTCAATGTTGTTGCCTCATCGATATCAGCCTTACTTACAGCTCTATTAGAACGCATAAATGGTGTCATAGCAGGTGTGCACAATGCATGATTATGTTTCTGATCAGACTTACTTATAACCCACTGATCGTTTGTATTTGTTGCTGTAACTACGACTCTAGCCTTACATCCTGTTCTTGTGACTGGCGTATGAGCACGTTGACGATCAACAATATTGACTTTTGATACTCGAAACCCTTCTTTGGAATAACAAAATTCTTGTGTCTTCACATTCCCTTCCACGTCAAGCCGTGTTGTTCCCTTACGTGCACTAAACCCATGTTCCCGTGCGAATCCCTTGTAAAAGTACCAAGCTTGATCACGTGAACAGAAGAGCTGACCAACCAATCTGTCAGATTCATCAACATTATGTACTTCATGGCATTCCTCGGTTGGCTTAACATTGTCTACATCAATATTATCCATGGCAAAAATTTTGTTGTGCAAGTTCAGTGCTCCAGGAGTTGATGGAGATGTAAGCAAAGGTTCAAAAACATGTTTCAGTCGTGCTGCTTTCAATAGGATGTGGCATTGGTAGTGGTAGTTAAAGGGTGGGTACAACATTAAATTCGCAGTACATATTTAGGTATGTACAATAACTATATATTTAGGTATATACATCTTTTGAGTGAGTTTTAAGATATTAATTTAGTAATTATAGGCGTCTAATGATTTATTTTTTACGTTACGGTATATATTATTATTAAATTAAAAACAATACACATATATATTACATATTTATTATTATATTTGGTTAATGTTGTTAAATTTAAATTCTAAATAATATTTTATAAAATATCAAAACAATCAAATAATTTTTTGTGTAAATGAAATTATTAAATTAATATTGTAAGTGGAAAACATGAAACACTATTAAAAAAAATTGAAACATAAATTACATAACTTTAAACAAAGTATCGATCATTTTTATAAAAAGTATGGACACTTTCAATATAATAGGTACAAATATGATGTAATAGGTAGCGCTTATATAATGTAATAGGTATCGTTTATATAATGTAATAGGTAGTGGTTATATTGTAAAGTATCTATCCTTTTTATAAAAGTGTCTATATTTTTTCACTGTGAAAACATTAATTTAAGGTTATCTTTTGAGTGAGTTTTAAGATATTAATTTAGTAATTATAGGCGTCTAATGATTTATTTTTTACGTTACGATATATATTATTATTAAATTTAAATTCTAAATAATATTTTATAAAATATCAAAACAATCAAATAATTTTTTGTGCAAATGAAATTATTAAATTAATATTGTAGGTGGAAAACATGAAACACTATTAAAAAAATTGAAACATAAATTACATAACTTTAAACAAAGTATCGATCATTTTTATAAAAAGTATGGATACTTTCAATATAATAGGTAAAAATATGATGTAATAGGTAGCGCTTATATAATGTAATAGGTATCGTTTATATAATGTAATAGGTAGTGGTTATATTGTAAAGTATCTATCCTTTTTATAAAAGTGTCTATACTTGTTTCACTGTGGAAAATATTAATTTAAGGTTATCTTTTGAGTGAGTTTTAAGATATTAATTTAGTAATTATAGGCGTCTAATGATTTATTTTTTACGTTACGATATATATTATTATTAAATTAAAAATTCTAAATATTATTTTATAAAATATCAAAACAATCAAATAATTTTTTGTGTAAATGAAATTATTAAATTAATATTGTAGGTGGAAAACATGAAACACTATTAAAAAATTGAAACATAAATTACATAACTTTAAACAAAGTATCGATCATTTTTATAAAAAGTATGGACACTTTCAATATAATAGGTAAAAATATGATGTAATAGGTAGCGTTTATATAATGTAATAGGTATCGTTTATATAATGTAATAGGTAGTGGTTATATTGTAAAGTATCTATCCTTTTTATAAAAGTGTCTATACTTGTTTTGCTGTGGAAAACATTAATTTAAGGTTATCTTTTGAGTGAGTTTTAAGATATTAATTTAGTAATTATAGGCGTCTAATGATTTATTTTTTACGTTACGATATATATTATTATTAAATTAAAAATTTTAAATATTATTTTATAAAATATCAAAACAATCAAATAATTTTTTGTGCAAATGAAATTATTAAATTCATATTGTAGGTGTAAAACATGAAACACTATTAAAAAAAATTGAAACATAAATTACATAACTTTAGATAAAGTATCGATCATTTTTATAAAAAGTATGGACATTTTCAACATATTATAATGTAATAGGTAAATTTGTAATGCTATCAGTATAAATATACCGGTTTACTTATAAAATAAAGTAAATATAAGCGCTACCTATTACATTATATAAGCGTTACCTAGTATGTTATTGTACTTTATAATATTTCCGGTTAAATAATATAACATAACCGATCTAAATTTTAACCGATCACTTATTTAACCGATCACACCGTATATTAACCGTTTTTTTAAGCGTCACCGCAGAACTACCCCAAAAGAGAGCTATAAAATTCTAATATTAATGGATTCCACTGCATTTTTCTCGTAAAAATCAATATTCTAACCGCTGCAAACTACTGAAATCTCCAAAGATACAGAGAGGAGCAGCTTCATAATACTCCGTTTGTATCAGTGGAATTTGGAAGTACAACGAAAACCTTACATCGTCTTCCCTCCCACTCTGACCTACCCACCAAATCAAAGCAACCCTACCATTTTTAATATTTATTATACTTCCTTTTTTGAGTGTTGATTTTCTAATGCAAGGGATAGAGGAAAAAGGAAACCCCCTGCCTGCGAGAACGGATTCATTCACCTACCCTATCTCTGTTTTATCCACTTGAGGGTTGTAAAATTTTTATATCTCTTGTTTCCATCGCTGCTTCTCTTTAGGTTCTTTAAAAGTTTTTGTATTCTCTTATACCCTTTTCGCAAAAATGGAATTTATATGCTCCTGTTTGTTCAAATTCGATTATTTACTTCACAATCACCCTGACTTCTCTTAAAACAATGAAAGAAAACGGATTCTATAACCCTGGAAGAAAGGCTTTTTTGTCCCCTAACAATTTTCTCTGATTTCTATTTTTCAATTATGAGCAAGAGAGGAATGCAGCTGTTCGATGATAAGAGAGATGTGTCTTTCTCTATATGTGATTTGGGGTCTCAATGGAGTCTGGAACCTAGTAACTCTTATGTAGGTGGCTTATTTGCAAGCGTTGGTCAAATGGGAATGGGATTTGGCGTTTCATAGAACTCCCCAAACCCCCGTGACGTTGGTGGAACCAAACCTCCATTTTCCGATTTGTTTCTGAAGTATTTACCAATTCGGGTCGTAGGATTGGTGGAAGGTGAAGAAGAAAGTTAGCCTAAAACTGAAAATCAAGGTTTCCAATCCTCCATTAAGAAGTTAATAAGCGGTGGCATTGTTGGGGATGTTTCAAGGACTTGCGTTGCTCCAGTAGAGACAAGAAGGACACATTTGATGGTTGGGAGCAGTGGGAACTCTACAACTGAGGTGTTCCACAAAATATTGCAGACTGATGGGTGGGAAGGTTTGTTTAGGGGAAATATTGTCAATGTGATTCGAGTTGCACCGAGCAAGGCGATAGAGGTACTAAACCCCTGAATTGCAAATGGTGTTTTTATTTATCTATTGTCATTTTGCGGTACTGCATATTGCCATGCTGGTTAATTACTGGCTTGGTTTAGAGCTTTGTGATGTTCTTTATGCAGTATAAAGTAGTTTTGCTTCACCTATACGATAGTGTTTTCGTTTTCAAACTATTCAGATTGGTACTAAATGCAATAATGTGGTACGGTTTTAGCTTCTGTTTCTTGATGTCAATGTCCCCCATGTTTGTCATTGTGTCTAGCTGAATTTATTGTTTTATCTAGTGCTTTCGTAAACTGACGCATTATGGTTGCTAGTGTTATATCTTATCCTATTGGTTTCTTTATAATTTCATGTTAACAATAAGGGTATCTGTTCAAGCCAAAGTGTAGATTGATAGCTTAACTAGATCAAAGTGATTGATATCTTATCCTATTGGTTTCTTTATAATACCTTTTATATTGTTATTGCTGATCATTAAATCTTCTTTCCCTATGACGAGGTTGTAAACAAGCTTTTTGATGCATTTTTCTTATTCTGCAACATTGTTCTTTTTGGTTCTTAATCTTCTTCATGATTAAACTTTGAAACATATGAAAGAAATGTACAAGACAAGTACGGGTATTGTTTGTAGATTATTTATTGGCGAACATTGCTGCCATAAGTTCCATGCTTTGTACTATTTTGTCATCTTTCATCTTTGGTTATTCTACTAATTACTAATGGACTTTCTGCCAACAAAATGGCAGTGCAGAGGCTAAGCTGCATCTTTCTGATATTATGATTATATGCACTATTTATACTGAAGCATATTAGTTTTGTTTAGTCAAAAGAGAGTTGCAACTATTCCTGACATGTTCTTACACCTATTTCCCATGTACTGCAGCTATTTGCTTTGACTCTGTGAATAAGCTGTTGTCACCCAAACCTGGGGATGAATCAAAGACACCAATTCCTGCATCATTAGTTACCGAGGTAAATAGTGTAACACCCCCAACTCGTATCCGACCCAAATCCGAGTTCGAGGTGTCACATTGACCATTGAGGTAAATAGTGTAACACCCCCAACTCGTATCCGACCCAAATCCGAGTTCGAGGTGTCACATTGACTTTTCAAAACATTTACTTGTATAAAATAGTGAGTAATTTAAAATTATTATAACATATAACTTATTCAAAACGTTTACAGAACTATTCAGAGTTTATACAATATATTATTTTGAATACATGCCAAATAAAACTTTATATATTAAAATACATAATATTCACCTTTCTTCTGATCTGACCTTCAGTAAGGAGAACTGACCTGTCTTGCTCCACATTGCTCTTTACTTTTCTCACTTTTGTAACCTACGTGTGAAACAATCACACGTTAAGTCTATGACTTAGTGAGGCATTACATTTATAAAAGAACTCTAATTATTTAAACATGTAGGAACACATCATCTCATGATGTCATACCAAAACAAATTAACATTACATACAATGTAATATACACATATACATATTTCACACCATTTCCATTACTAACCTTATTCCACTATCCATATTCTTATCATTTATGTCTTATAATCATATACTCGTATGTCTATTCTTTTAAGTCACATATGATTCATTTAACCAAGCAATACACACATCATCATATAATCATATAATGCAATTCATATTACAAAAGCATATACTTTACATGTAATATATATATTTATTGTTCTCTCTTTGTTAGCCCATGTACATATGTGAGAACTATAAATATGTGAGTCTATTAAGGTTGTGCACTATGCTGTCACCACAGCTCGTATAGGGTCTCACTAGGGGCTATAAAATTTGTCCCGAATGACCTATCCAGAGGTCATAAAGAACCTCAGCAACTGTCCATAGGTCCCGAAGAACTTAGCTAAACTATCCATATGTTCCTTAGAACATACGTATATTGTCCATATGTTCCTTAGAACATAGGTATACTGTCCATATGTCTCGAAAGACAGGTAATTCTGTCCATATGTTCCGTAGAACATAGGTAAACCCTCGACTCTTGGCATGCCAGCTATACCTATCGCTCTCGTATCATATACCATGGGCATTTATCTTTATATCATTTCATATATACACTTTCATATCACATGTCATATAAGCTTATAGCTTCTTTTACATCATGTAGTCACATAGCTTCTTTTCATATTCTCATAGGATCACATAGCTCCTATCTTATACTTTGTTTTCTCATGTTCACATATATCATGTCATATGGCTCGTATCTTTCTCATGCAATCACATAGTTCAGTTTCACATATGTTCATATATATATATACATCACATAGAACATACTTATATCATTACATACAAAAGCATGTTAACACATAATCATACATACATACAATTCATGTCATCCATATATGTATAATCATATGATTCACTTTCACGTATCACCTATACTTTCTCTTTTATATATCTCATGACTCTTTATCTCATTCTCATATGATCACATAATTGTGTAGTTCACTTCTCATATCACTTTGCATGATTTTACATAAACATATATCATATCTTATTTATATATATATATATATATCTGCAAATACATGTAAGCACATATTTTCTTATCTTATAATTTATGTTACATATGCATGTAATCTTTTGACTCATTGTTATGTAACTCAAATAACATTGTATTATTATATACATTATTCCATAACCATATATTCACATAGCATATATATGCCCTCATACAATCAAGGATACATACATTTCATATTAATCACATACTTCACGTACTATACTATCGGAAATAGACTTATCACAAGTCAATTTCCATATAATTCGATGTAATAAGATGCACTCACCTTGGCCTCACTAAGTTTCAATCCACTTTTATGCTTTCCTCTCTTTCGATCGAATCTTAACTTGATAATCGTTCGAGAATTTGTTCGTGCTCGATATCTATATAATCATACATTGATACATATCAGTATCCAATTGATATATTCTAATCTATCATTTCTTAGACCAAAAGAAAAGTATAATTCTATTTTCCCTTGAAGTGCATCGATACATTCTACAGTGCATCGATGCATTCTTTAACATGTGCATCGATGCACTACCCATACATCGATACACAAATCACATTCGATGTTTTCATTTTAAGGGGGTGCATCGATGCACTCCTTATGCATCGATGCACTCCTTATGGATCGATGCACTAATTGCATTCGATGTTCATTTATTTGAGAGTGCATCGATACACATTGAAGATGCATCGATGCACACAACCCATAAATTCCATTTTGAGCCCGAAAATGCTTACTTTGTCCTCAAATTCTACTTATTAACCCCTCCTTATACCATAAAACTTATCTATACATATGTAAATCTTCTTATAACATTATAACACTTCACTATCCCTCATAATTCACCATAATTCTTGAATCAAAGAATTTCATCAAATTTTTCATGTGTTCTTAATTCAATTCTATCACCTCTAACTCGATGCATTCTTTAACATGTGCATCGATGCACTACCCATGCATCGATACACAAATCACATTCGATGTTTTCATTTTAAGGGGTGCATCGATGCACTAATTGCATTCGATGTTCATTTATTTGAGAGTGCATTGATACACATTGAAGATGCATCGATGCACACAACCCAGAAATTTCATTTTAAGCCCGAAAATGCTTACTTTGTTCTCAAATTCTACTTATTAACTCCTCCTTATACCATAAAACTTATCTATACATATGTAAACCTTCTTATAACATTATAACACTTCACTATCCCTCATAATTCACCATAATTCTTGAATTAAAGAATTTCATCAAATTTTTCATGTGTTCTTAATTCAATTCTATCACCTCTAACTTCTTAATTAGCCCTTTGACAAGTCAAATCCATCTTTAGAACTTCAAAAACCTTTCTATAACAAAAGTTAATTTCTACACCCTTCATATAATTTCCTTTTTAATTCTCTATTTTTGATGTTTAAAGCTTATATAAGCTCCTTAAGCTTATATAAGCTTTCCTTAAGCTTATATAATACTCAAAGAATCAAAATCAACTTATAAATCCAAGAATTAAACAGCTGAAATTAAACTCACCTTTAACTGAGGCTTACGGGGAGAAGAAGGAGTTGAAGAAGAAGACTCTGGATAGATTTCCTCATTTCCCACGTTTTTATATTCCTTAAAAAGAGAGAATAAAAATCTTCTCTTAGAAAAAACCATAATACCCTTGTTACTTTCCAACTTTACTATTAAATCCAACATCAAACTTCTTCAATTAAATCCATGAACTTTTAACTTATTTCAAAATCAAGCACATAGTTTTCAAAATTTGCAATTTAGTCATTGACCCTAAATTTTGGGATGTTACAAATCTCTCATCCTTTAAAGAAAATTCGTCCTCGAATTTTCACTGAACATATCAATAAGAACATATCTTCTAATGTTCTCATGCTACCTCCTTTACTTAATCTTTCATTCCTTTATTTCTTCAACTACCTTTTTCCTTTATATATTTATCTACTGTCACTTATCATATACACAGTAACCCATAACCTCAAATCCATTTATATCTTTTCTCTCCTTAGATTTTGCATTTTCCTTTGACCTTTCTAAAATCCATATAATGTCACTCATTACATAGACAGTAACATCCATTTTCATCACTCAACATCATAAATCCATCTCTAACTACCTTATAGTAATAACCAAATTCGTTTTCCATCCTCATTTAACCAAGAATATGACCTTAAATCTTCTTCCAATTTGATTAAACATACATTTTACATAATCGAACAATCTTTTCACCTCACCTTGCACATTTCTCTTACTTCTATATCAAACTTATCGTCTACTTTTCCATATAACCTTTATCATATCTGATCCTTTAAACTCAATCTTTTTCATTCTTTATTCCCTTATTCCTTATACACAAATCATATCTTTCCTTTCATGTTCACATACTCTTGTCCTATCATCATCAGATTTGTCAGCTATCGGTTCACTTCGACAATTTCTATAATCAATTTCTACTACATCATACAAATCTTATTCTATTAGCAAGACATGATACTCCTTACACTATCAGATCAGAAATTCACTTTAAGTTGGCATATACACATTTTTAAACCTCATTTGACTTCGGTTTAAGCCTAGAATCGCCTAAACCTTAGCCCTGGTATCATTAAATGTAACACCCCAACCTGTATCCGAACCAAATCCGAGTCCGATGTGTCACATTGACTTTTCAAAACATTTACTTGTATAAAATAGTGAGTAATTTAAAATTATTATAACATATAACTTATTCAAAACGTTTACAAAACTATTCAGAGCTTATACTATATATTATTTTGAATACATGCCAATTAAAACTTTATATATTAAAATACATATTATTCACTTTTCTTCTGATCTGACCTTCGGTAAGGAGAACTAACCTGTCTTGCTCCACATTGCTCTTTACTCTTTTCACTTCTGTAACCTACGTGTGAAACAATCACACGCTAAGTCTATGACTTAGTGAGGCATTACATTAATAAAAGAACTCTAATTATTTAAACATGCAGGAACACATCATCTCATTATGTCATCCCAAAACAAATTAACATTACATACAATGTAATATACACATATACATATCTCACATCATTTCCATTACTAACCTTATTCCACTATCCATATTCTTATAATTTATGTCTTATAATCATATACTCGTATGTCTATTCTTTTAAGCCACATATGATTCATTTAACCAAGCAATACACACATCATCATATAATCATATAATGCAATTCATATTACAAAAGCATATACTTTACATGTAATATATATATTTATTGTTCTCTCTTTGTTAGACCATGTACATATGTGAGAACTGTAAATATGTGAGTCTATTGAGGTTGTGCACTATGCTGTCACCACAGCTCGTATAAGATCCCACTAGGGGCTATGAAATTTGTCCCGAAGGACCTATCCAGAGGTCATAAAGAACCTCGGCAACTGTCTATAGGTCCCGAAGAACCTAGGTAAACAATTCATATGTTCCTTAGAACATAGGTACACTGTCCATATGTCTCGAAAGACATAGGTAATTCTGTCCATATGTTCCGTAAACATAGGTAAACCCTCGACTCTTGGCATGCCAACTATACCTATCGCTCTCGTATCATATGCCATGGACATTTATCTTTATATCATTTCATATATACACTTTCATATCACATGTCATATAAGCTCATAGCTTCTTTTACATATACATGTAGTCACATAGCTTCTTTTCATATTCTCATAGGATCACATAGCTCCTATCTTATACTTTGTTTTCTCATGTTCACATATATCATGTCATATGGCTCGTATCTTTCTCATGCAATCACATAGTTCAGTTTCACATATGTTCATATATATATACATCACATAGAACATACTCTTATATCATTACATACAAAAGCATGTTAACACATAATCATGCATACATACAATTCATGTCATCCATATATGTATAATCATATGATTCACTTTCACGTATCACCTATACTTTCTCTTTTATATATCTCATGACTCTTTATCTCATTCTCATATGATCACATAATTGTGTAGTTCACTTCTCATATCACTTTGCATGGTTTTACATAAACATATATCATATCTTATTCATATATATATATATATATATATATCCGCAAATACATGTAAGCACATATTTTCTTATCTTATAATTTATGTTACATATGCCTGTAATCTTTTGACTCATTGTTAAGTAACTCAAATAACATTGTATTATTATATACTTTATTCCATAACCATATATTCACATAGCATATATATGCACTCATACAATCAAGGATACATACATTTCATATTAATCACATACTTCATGTACTATACTATCGGAAATAGACTTATCACAAGTCAATTTCCATATAATTCGATGTACTAAGATGCACTCACCTTGGTCTAACTAAGTTTCAATCCACTTTTATGCTTTTCTCTCTTTCGATCGAATCTTAACTTGATAATCGTTCGAGAACTTGTTCGTGCTCGATATCTATATAATCATACATTGATACATATCAGTATCCAATTGATATATTTAATCTATCATTTCTTAGACCAAAAGAAAAGTATAATTCTATTTTCCCTTGAAGTGCATCGATACATTCTACAGTGCATCGATGCATTCTTTAACATGTGCATCGATGCATTCTTTAACATGTGCATCGATGCATTCTTTAACATGTGCATCGATGCACTACCCATGCATCGATACACAAATCACATTCGATGTTTTCATTTTAAGGGGGTGCATCGATGCACTCCTTATGCATCGATGCACTAATTGCATTCGATGTTCATTTATTTGAGAGTGCATCGATACACATTGAAGATGCATCGATGCACACAACCCATAAATTCCATTTTGAGCCCGAAAATTCTTACTTTGTCTTCAAATTCTACTTATTAACCCCTCCTTATACTATAAAACTTATCTACACATATGTAAACCTTCTTATAACATTATAACACTTCACTATCCCTCATAATTCACCATAATTCTTGAATCAAAGAATTTCATCAAATTTTTCATGTGTTCTTAATTCAATTCTATCACCTCTAACTTCTTAATTAGCCCTTTGACAAGTCAAATCCATCTTTAGAACTTCAAAAACCTTTCTATAACAAAAGTTAATTTCTACACCCTTCATATAATTTCCTTTTTAATTCTCTATTCTTGATGTTTAAAGCGAAAGCTTATATAATACTCAAAGAATCAAAATCAACTTATAAATTCAAGAATTAAACAGCTAAAATTAAATTTACCTTTAACTGAGGCTTACGGGGAGAAGAAGGAGCTGAAGAAGAAGACTCTGGATAGATTTCCTCATTTCCCACGTTTTTATATTTCTTAAAAAGAGAATAAAAATTTTCTCTTAGAAAAGACCATAATACCCTTGTTACTTTCTAACTTTACTATTAAATCCAACATCAAATTTCTTCAATTAAATCAATGAACTTTTAACTTATTTCAAAATCAAGCACATAGTTTTCAAAATTTGCAATTTAGTCACTGACCTTGAATTTCGGAATGTTACAAATAGTCTAGAATTCACAATTCATAGAGTAAAAGTGCGCTCTCACTTAAATTTGAGACTTGTTAATTTTGCAGAAGAATATGTACGATGGTATACTTGATGCTTTCTTAAAAATACTGCAAAAGGAGGGCCCTGCAGAACTTTACAGAGGCCTTGCTCCTAGTCTCATCGGAGTAATTCCATATGCCGGCACTAATTATTTTGCATATTATACTTTACGGAAAGTGTACCGTAAAATTTCTAAAGAGGAAAAAATTGGGAATATTGAAACTCTTTTAATTGGATCACTAGCTGGGGCCATTTCAAGTAGTGCAACATTCCTGCTGGAGGTTGCTCGAAAGCACATGCAGGTTGGAGCTCTCCATGGAAGACAGGTCTACAAGAATGTGGTGCATGCACTCGCAAGCATGCTTGAATAGGAAGGGATTCGTGGTCTGTATAAAGGTTTTGGTCCAAGTTGCATGAAGTTGGTACCTGCTGCTGGGATTTCTTTCATGTGCTATGAAGCATGCAAAAGGATACCGGTTGACAAAGATGATGATGAAGCATAGAGTTTCCGGTCAAAATGGAATAACTCATCTTTTGAACACATGAACGAGATGGCATACGTTTTACGTTCATTAAAAAAAAAACTCCTGAATCATTTTTGTTAAGGATCAGTTCAGGCTGTGGCGTTTTTGTGTTCGTTGAGCAGTGTTTTAGCAACTAGTTTGAGTGGGATTACTCTTGGATCCATTTTTCCTGCGAGTGATTAACATGTTTTCCGGTATACAAAAAGTGTTATTCTCTAACTTTTTACTGTGTTATTTTAACTTTAGTTTCCCCTTGGGGGCCACTGCAATGCAAGAAAATTTATAAGCACTTTGAGAGCAGGACGTTAGGATCATCAAGGTGCCTGTTATGATTTCCATCCGAAAACCAGATGCCTTAGTCATATAGGACTGCAGAAGAAAGGGATCGACAACAAATTTGAATATTGAATAATAAACCGCAATAGTAGTTTACAAGAATTCCTAAAACTCATCACAGTGACAAAGCTTCACTCGCAAGCAAACAAGAACAGAACTGTTGAAGATGCTCACAATCAAAGTAACACAGCTCACAATCTTATTCCTAGCTTAGCTTTACTCATTATCTAAGGCTTCCTCAGCAGCAGCTGCCATCAACTCGTCAAACTTCTCTGACTTCCTCAGCAGTATTTCAATCTACAATATAACAAATTGCAATAAGAAAAGTTCAATGACCCTGAGAATTAATGTTAGTATTAAATGATTAAAAATGGACGAAAGTAGTACATGTGAATTTTACTATATATTAATCCCAAACCTACCAATTAATAGAATTTATGTCCCATAACTACACAATAACCAGAGGCCTCACTATATATCTAATTGGTTTAACAGTCTTACAACTTACTTTAGCTTTTTGTACAGGTCGTCCGCCTGATTCCTCTCTCATGTCAATGGTGGAAGTCATGATTTCTGTCATATAATGCATATATATCACGATACAAAGTTTGAGTTATCAAAATGAAATGAAGCTAAAATGTATATTTTGTTATGGGTAAGACTCACTTTTCTCTATGGCCAGCCCATTGTTCTTCAATATCTCAGCAATGGTAACAACAGTAGCAATAGCTGTCAGGCAGCATAGAAAGTGAGTTAAAAGAAAAACGAGAGAAACAGTTATGTTTTCCTCGACATTCAAAACCAAGAGCCGCATTGCAACACAATCATAAATCACGTTCCATAAATATACACATAGCATGTTTGTATGTCAAGGTAATGTGTTGTATTTCAGCTCGAGTGGTGTAAAACCAATCCTTCAATTTGTTCCTTTGATTACATTGAAGTAGTCATGAAAGGTAACAAGAATAAAACAGTTTGCGAGCTCCATGATAATTTAGCCACACAGGTTGAAGCTATCAATTTAGATGACAATTCCATCTCTCAAAAGCTAAACAGATAACATTTAATAAGAAATCCAGAGAGCAACAAAGCAAACTGCCACTTCGATACTGAAAAGAACATCCGAATAAAAAATTTCCAAGAATGAGTAAACCAAGCAAGTGAAAGTGGAAAGAAGAGCGAAGAAAGAATACCCATTCCAAGCGCTGAGAGTTCCACCTCATTGTATTGCTGCATGTACCTCTGCCAAAAGGGAGCAAAATAAATGTATAAACAACTAACCAAAAAAACACTAATTTAAATCATTTTTGGTTCATATAATTCCCATTTGTCTTGAAAATTTTCACATCATGATCAACAACAACAACAAAATCCGAAAGGAAAAATCAAATGAAAACCCAAAGTCATAACTCAAAGTCTCATATTATTAATTAATCACCGAGAGATAGAAATTTAGAAAGAACAAACAAAGTGAAGGAACCTTGGCGAGATTAACGTAGAAGAAGAGGGGTTTCTGGGTATTGGAGACTTGGATACGGTTCTTCTTGTTGTTGGAGGCTGATGAATCCACTGCCTCTGTTGTGCCCACCATTCTCGTTCTTTAGAGAGACAGAAAACAAAAACCCTAAGTATTTATATCACCTCAGGTTCCGTAACACAAACAAAAGGGGGAGCAGTGGAGCTCAAAAACCCTTGAATTCAATTATTCAACTCCTCATCACCACTTCCCCTCCTCTTTTATCGGCGATTTCCATGCTTTTCGATGGAATCGATTATTTTTGGTAGTACAATCAAGTGATTAGGATTGGTTTCAAACAAAACCATACGTGTCAGTATCATTTTTTTTTTATTTTATGAAATTTTAAGTGAATACTCCATAGAACCAACAAAAGCAAAATTGGTTTTAGTTTGGATTTACTTTTACAAATTACAAGTAACATTATATAAAATTAGGTATGCTATGATCAATCTATTGGTTAAATTTGGTGTTATTAAGTTCTTGAGAATTTTTTAAAAAAAAATCCTCAAAAAATATTTTGAAATTTTAGAATAATGATATAAAAATCCATTTTACTTTTAAAAAAATTATGCATATAATATATTTTATATATTTTTGGAACAATCTTTTTAGCTATAATTAAATATTATTTTTTAGCACTGAGTTTACATTATAAAATTTATTGATAATTAGTAAAAATTGTATACTAATTATATTAATCTTTATTAATATAATAATTTATTTATTTTTATAAAATTATCAATATTCTATCTTTTGGGTGATTAATTTTTGGATGATTTAGATCAATAACTTTAGTGAAGGGATCTATGGTCTTATCCCATGAAATCAATTAATAGTTGATAATATAATATTTGATATCATTTTGATAATTTTGAATGAAAATCAAATATAATAATTTGAATTATATTTTTCAAAAACAACAAAACTTGTATTTTTTTTTCAAATATAACTATTTTAAAAATAAAATTAACTTAATATTTTTAACATTAATACTAAGTAGCAATTTAACTAATTATTCTATCCAACAATTTTCGGGGAAAAGTTTAGATAAAGTAAAATTTTAATATAATCATCAAATATCTAAAAATTTAAATATTGATTATTTACATAAAATAAAAAAAAATCAAGAGAGGCCCTTAGTTACAACACGTTGCTTTTATTAACAAGAAATCTTAAAAATAATAATATATAGATATATTTGAACATTTGGTACTTAGACGGTTGGCCCATTCTCTTCTTGACCAGGCATATTCTATGATCAAACTTAAAAGAGCATCAGAGATTAAATTTCATATTGGAAGAGCCTTTACTCCAAATTCTCATATGAATGGTAAAATAAAGTAAAACATAAAGTCAAGAAAAGGACAGTAGCAAGTCTCTTCCATAGCATTGGATATGAATAAATATCTCTACATAATCCAAACAAGGAAAAGAAGTTTTAAAATTACACAGCATCACCAATACCTTGTAGAAGAAGAATGGAAGTGAACAAAATATATATATATATATATATATAGGTTTCTTTGTCTTAGGTCTCCATCTGCGTCATCAAACATATAATAAGCATATATCGAGCATATGTGGTTGTGATCTCTCACTCTTCTTGGTTATATACACAATAGCCAACTTGATGGAGAGACGCATTTACTGGAATACAATGATCCGGGAATGAAACTAACAGTTGATGCCACACTGACCGTTTGCAGCAGCTTTTGTGGCATCTGAGGTGAAGGGGTCGATACGCACCCACAGCAACGAGAAGATAGAAGCGAGAAGTATAGACCAAACGATGACAATTGTAGGGGTGCGGTTCTGACGACCCAACAGACCTTTCAAGAAAGGATATAAATGGGCTATCACCCAGATTGCAAAGAAAAGCTTTCCAAAAAGAGGCCCCCAGGATTGGTAACCACTGTTTATAGCATATGATACGCCGGCCACGATGCCCACCAGGTTGATAATAAGTACCGTGGTTGGAGGAATGAGAAGCGATGTCCATTTGAAAACATAAAGCTCCGCAAACTCACCATCATCGTCAGATGCCTTTGAAGTGACAGTAAAGTTGGTATCAATTCCAGCAAGAACTTTCAGAAGACCCTGGAAAACAGCAAAGAGATGAGCTGATGTTCCACCAATGACCCAGAATTGTTCATTTCTCCACCAGTCTTCGATACTGACACCACTCCACCTAAGCTCAAGTATTCCAGTGGCAAAAATGGAAACAAAAAGGAGAATGAACCACATGCTAGCATAGTTGCTTATCTGCATAAATTTGGAGGAAGAACATTAGTGTCAGAAAATAGTTTTTAGAGGATTGCAGGGTTAGAAATACATTTTAAAGCAAGAAAATGAAGCTATAACAACCACTAACCTCGGGAATGATAAATTTTCCTGTCAGAAGGCAAAAGGCTGGAAGCGTACAATAAGCAAGCAAAGGAATAGAGGTAAGGGGATAAACAATGGTGTTAATGTAAGCCAGTCTCTCCAGAAGCCTCAATCTTCCTTTGTAACCATACCAGATGGGGCAATGCCTGCTCAGCAAAATCTCAATTGAACCCAAGGCCCATCGAAGAACTTGGTTCAAACGATCAGAAAGATTGATAGGAGCAGATCCCTTAAATGCTGGACGAGGAGGCATGCAATAGATTGATATCCATCCACGGGCATGCATCTTAAAACCAGTCAAAATATCTTCTGTAACAGAACCATAAATCCATCCAATCTGGCCACAGAAGAAAAAAAAACCGAAAGAGTTAGTGCATACAAAAGGGAAAAAGGATTATGCAGCAGTAAAAGGCCATGATACTTCACGAACTGACCTCCTTGCCCCATTCAGTCTTGTCCTCGTATCCACAACTAATTACATGGATTGCTTCTTTTAAAAGAGTTGCAGGATTTGTTGATGGTGGAATGCCTCCTTGTTCCATGAAGGTAGCTGCAATAAATACCGGGGACTGACCAAACCGCTTCTCTAAGCTCTTCTGAGACATAAGAAGAGACCTTTCATCATCATATCCTGCAGAAAACAATGTATACAATTAAAATCACATTGTGGACGCACATTCTAACACAACCTTCATCTTCATGCTCACTTAATCAAAACGGAATCCACCAGTATACTTCTTCGCATACTGAGTGAACTTTTTCTTTTTAAAGAAGACGGATTTCATACCGAGTGAACTTGAATAATATTGATGCTGAAGATATTCATTCAATATAATGAAACTTTATGGCAGCCATGCAGAAGCGGAAAATAAAGTGATATGATCACGGACTGGTGTAGAGAACATCAAATCAATACAAGATAAAAAAATCAGAAATAGTTTTGACAAAAATGCCCACCTTCAACACCTTCCTCAATGTCTTCCATATTGAAAATAGGGATGGTCGATTCAGTTCTCTTAGCTGCCCTTTTCTGGTCAATATATTTTCTATTTCCACTCTTTCCCTTCTTTCTTGAACCGCAACAACTCTTAATGATAATATTTGGTTCCAAATCAGCTTCTGTTAGAACTGGATCGTAGCCATATAGAGCTTGCCTGTTGAAACAACAACCAGTTCCCACATAGACTGGACCTTGGATGCCATCTAACCCTTTCAAGTTAATCTGCAAAATACAAGTACAAAGTAAACTACAATTCCCCATTAAATAGTAATTGGAAAGAAACATTATCTTGAAGACAAATTAAGTGGGTCTTACATCAAAGAACACAATATTTCTGTTAGCATATCGATCGTGCAAGTCGATACCATCAAAACGTTGAGGGAACTGCACATAGCATGTCTTTCTTCCATATGCAGGATCCATCATGAAACACATAGCTTCTTTAAGAGCTTTACTGTTATTGAAGTAGTGATCACAATCGACATTCAACAAATATGCTCCATTGGTAAGAACAGCTGAAACTCGAATCTGTGAAGCATAAAATGGCAAGATTAGAAAGTGGAACTGAGGTTGCAAGTGCTGAAAATCTAAAAGGATATATTCCTGATGAAAAACTGGCTAATATTCATTGTGAACATATGTAACATAAATATTATACTCTAAAACACTTTTGGTTACATGCTGAAATTGAAGAAAGGGCTGAGAATGGCATACCAAAGCATTCATGGCTCCAGCTTTCTTGTGGTGTTGGAAGCCAGGTCGTTTCTCTCGAGAAACATAGATAAGGCGAGGTAGTTCATTTCCATCAGTATCAAGCCCTCCACTGTGACCTAAAAACACCTGTTGGTCCACAAAAAGGATGTTAGAAAATGATGGGGGGGGGAAACATGATAGTAAGGAATCACACGACCAACTTTACTGTCAGACAACTCAGCTCAAGAACAATACCTGTATCATTCCTGGATGATCTCTTGGGTTGTTTCCAGGCCACGGAGTACCATCCTGCATTGTCCAACCTTCTTCGGGCATTTTCTGAGCTTTGGCAACAAGGGCATTGATCCGCACCTTGAATTCTTCATATTCTCTCTGTTGAAAGAAGAATTCACCTTTATCAATGTTAAAGTATGTGGCATCATTTTTTCTAAGTTTAATACGAAGTAGTGAGTGGAAGAAACAATTCTTCAGATTTTATAGGAACCCTCTTTAAGCCTTCTGAAGATTTCTTTGGTTATATATTTATATATGCAGTGTCTAACTACAAAGAAAATATATGAAGGTGTTGACTATTTCAAGCAAAGCTTACAAGTAGGCACGAAACTATGTTTAAAAAAGGCTTGTGCTTTACCAATCCATTTTCTTTCCTATATTTTTACCAATTCAAATAGACTATTATTTTTCCTCTATTGCATGAATCTCAAGATATAACCACATTTTTATCATGTTAAAGCAAATTTAATTCTAGGCTAATACACTCAAATCTAACCTCAATGCTTTGGTGATATCTAGAAAATCATTAAGTTCGTTAAAAATCAGAGCACTCCTCGGAAATACACTTACCTTCATAGCACGACGCTCCTTGACAAAGGATGGCTGTATCTTGTCCTTTAGATAATCAATCTTTTGAGCAAAATAAAACTCAGGAGCTCTAGGCTCTATGTTGTGCTTCTTGCAGAAAGGCACCCACTTCCTTGCAAACTCTGCAGTTTCAGAGAGGGCTTCAAAAGTCAACATAGCTGAACCATCATCTGAAACATAGCAGGCTACTTTGTCCACAGGATAATCCACTGCAAGGATTGACAAGACGGTGTTCGCAGTGACAAGCGGAGGCTCTTTGAGTGGATCCACAGTACTGACAAAAACATCTACAGGGGCTAGCTGTGATGGTTCCC